GATGAGATACGTTGATACAACAACACAACGAAGCAATCACTAAAGCTATCTCATTCACAGTTAGCCCAAAAAGCTTGATAAAGAGAGATTTCTAAACTCCTTATCCAGAAGCAAACTTCTCCTCCTTCCAAAAAGCTATAGTGTAAACACTTGAAGGTTTCCTTGCCTCAAGCACCACACCACGTTGAAGGATATTACTTTTGATCAAACTTATTGATTAAAAGGGGGTAGGTCAACTCTCTTACAAGTTGATCTTGCAAGTCTTATTGTTCGGATCTTGCAGTTGTTGAAGAAGCTTGACCTTCGAAGGAACAACAAAGCCAGCACGAGTGCAGTAGCAACATTGGTCTTGTGAAGATATACCGTGCAGAAATTCACACAAGTGTAACTGTTGGTTCATTGTTCAACAACCAACTACATAGTGGATTTTGAGGACGTAGAAGGATTACCCCACCTTCGAACCTCGTTAAAGTTTGCGTGTCTCTCTCTCTTATCTTTATGCTTACTTGCAATTATATTAACTGTGAAAACTAACCTATCCATATTACTGCTCACTCCACCCACCAAATTCCGCACACAATCTAAAGTTCACAAGGACTCTAGATTAACACTCATTTTCTCGTTTTCAAAATAAACGAAAAAGATTTTAAACCTGTAACAAAGTCTATTCACCCCCCCTCTAGACTTTGTATTTCACCACTTTGGGACCACCAGTATGTGCAACTCGGTTTTTGTTGAAGCTATTTTAGCTTCATAAGGTAGTTAAATGAACTCCAGATTCATACGTGATTCTTTGTGTGCTTTTGTGTTCGTTGATTTTAAGGATTTTGGACTTCTTACTTCTTAGCCCCATAAGTTGATTCATTATTCTTAGAATTCGTTATTAAGTGATTGTGTATGTTTTCATGTGTTTGTTTGTTATTTTCATTGAGTTGAGGTTGTTTAAGCTCAAAAACAATTCTCGATTTAGTGAAAATATGTTGTGTTCATCTATGTAAATAGAAAAAACGTCATTGGTTTGAGAAGTTCATGGAAATCTGTGAAATGTGCTCATCATTAGGAAAAAAGTTTATTTAAGTGCATAAGGTATTGGCGATTTGTGAATAGATTGTGCATGGGAGTTGAATGAAAAAAAATTCGCTCTTTTATAAACCTTTGCTATAGTGGAAGTATATTTTCGTGCTTGATTGGTGAGTTGTGGTTTTTGATTTGTCTCATTATGAAATTCTTGAATTACATGACTCCAGGCCGTGTGGAGAGTTGACAATCCTCCATATCGTGGTTAAGGAAATGAATCGACTTGGCCTTTTATTGATTTTTCTATTCTTAAGTGCGTAAGTTACGTAGTATATCGGCTACGTGCCTATTATACGTGTAATGTTCAATTTGTGTTTGTTCTCTTTTTCATTTTCTTTCGGGTTCTTGGCGGTGTTTTTTGGGTTACCTTGGTTGAAGAAGTTGATTATCTTTAGAGCTTGTTTTCCCTCATTTTATCAAAAAAATCAAAAAATAAGAAAATATAAAAAACCAAAAATATATTTGCTTTTTATTCAACCCCCTGTTAAGTTTAAGTTTTAGTATAAGTGTTTGTTTATAAGTTATAAATATAAGTTTTATACTTTTTTTTAGTATATCTTAAATATGTCTTTTGTTTTCATAAATTATATTATAAGTTCTTTGTTTTTAATAAGTTATATTTATAAGTTTTTATATTTATTTAGTTATAAGTTTTATAAGTGTTATTATATGTGTAGTAGTTAGTTTGTTTTATTTATTGACAAGATGTTCGCATGCTAATTGGTTTTTAAAAGTACAACTTTCTTTGTGGGATCGACCCTTACTTGCTCTAGCTATAGTTTTTATTTGATTATACTTTGGGAGTTAGCTAAGGTTATTTATAAATTTTTAATTTGTTTTGGACTACACGACAAGTCTCTAACACTTAGTCAACTAACTTATCTGGCTCATAACCTATTCTAGGTTTAAGCTTATACTAATTCTAACTTACTTACTAGAGTCATGACCTTCGCCTTTGGAACGAAGATCAAGCTCAACCAACTCAAGAGTTCCTTGTTTGGTGGGTGAGATAACTATCCCCTTCAAAACGATAGTTCATTGATCCCCGTGCGTATGTTTGTTCCCGAATAGCCATTGGACCCAGCAGGTTCCACATGGCTCTAACCTTTCTATACTTACGGCATAACTTGCCTCTATTCCATTCAGGTCAAATCCTAGAGTTTTTCTAGATTCATATGTTACTTTAATGTCATATTACATTCTCAAGTGCATATCACATAAGATAAGCATAATCATATCGAACGTAAACAAACATGATCAACCATCGGCCTAGCCCTAGGTGTGAACACCCATGCTTACTCTCATGCAACATACAAGGTCTCGAAATAAGCCCTCAAAACGAAAATAGACTTATGAACAAACTCTGGGTAATAGACGTTACCTAGTTTGGTACTGGGGTACCAGCATGGTACCTGGGAACTGTCCGGGCGGTTTTACTGGCTGGGAGAGAGACCTCCAGCACCAGATGGCCTATGACAGTAGCCAGGTACCGTCCTGGAGGTAGGGCCTAGCGTCCATCTGGTACTTATGTACGAACAGTCGCAGGTTCTAATAGTACCAAAAGGCCTCAAGCGGTATCAGGGTACTAGTAGGCTGGTACCTTGCTACCGTGTGACGTGAAGTTTACCTGTTTATGCACCAGCACGATTTTATAGCAAAACCAACATCCAGACTCCAAAGTTTCATCATGAATACATTCATAAACCAATTCCTAACTATGTTCAACCTAATCATGATCAAACATAACTCATTCATGAATTCAAATCAACAAATCACAACAAGCTACCTGATGGGCCGATGTCCAGCGGGCGGCCCAATTGAATCATTTAATAGACTTCGGGTCACGCGCACATGAACTACTTAGGCATGGATCGGCCCATAATGCACGGCCCGGTCAACTCCAATCCAAAACGGCTGGCAGAGCCAGTCCAGAGGAGAAGACGGAGCTGAATGGCGGAGCTGAAGCCGGAAAAAGTGGATCGCGCCATTGACGGGATAGACTCCCACTGATTATGTATTACCTCAACTGTCAGAACCGAGGTATATATAGAAGAGGCCCGAAAAGGGCTAAATGAAGCTAATAATACACACCTAATTCTCGAATTCTTGTTCTTAATCCTTTTCTTATGATCCGTTCTTCTAATCGGATCATTTGGCAGATTTTGTGGTAGAATGCACTGTAAGGGAAGTGGAATCCAACGGAGAGGAGCCTGAAGGAAACTGGTGAACTATATACACTGATGGCTCGTCCGCGACTGATGCTTCGGGGGAGGCGTCGTGGCAATATCACCGGAGGGGTTCAAAGCATACTACTCTGTAAGGTTCCGTTTCAAGGTCTCAAACAACGAGGCTGAGTATGAGGCATTGCTCTGCGGTTTGAGGCTCGCAGCATCGTTAAAGGCTGAACGGATCCAGGTCCGGTGCGATTCCAAGCTGATAGTGGGACATGTCACGGGAGAGTTTGAGGCCAATGATGAGCGAATGAAGAAGTACAGAGACACTGCTCTAGAATTACTTAAGGCGTTCGGTGCATACCGGATAGAGCAGGTCCCTCGAGAAGAAAATGCCGAGGTGGACAGGTCCAGACTCCCCAGATCATATCAGGGCGATGACCCAGGAAGAAGAGTTGCTCGAGCCAAGCATCAGTCCCGGACCGGTTCTGGTCGTTACACTCAAAGAGCCGGATTGGATCTACGAGATAACCATGAACATCCTTGACGGGTCGCTACCTACCGATCCGGTCGCTGTAAAAGTTGTTAAACGGCGAGCACCTAGCTACACGCTGGAGAGCGGTCGGTTATACAAGTGATCGTACAATGGTACATTGCTGAGGTGTCTAAGATGAGACGAAGCGCAGAAGTTAATGGAAGAAATCCATGAAGAAATATGTTCAGCACATCAGGGAGCCTTTACAATGTCCTGGAAGATAACCCTGCAGGGGTATTTTTGGCCAACAATCATCAGGGATTGCGCAGCATACGTGCATAAGTGCAAGGTCTGCTAGGAGTTTCAGAAGGTGCCAGGGCGACCGGCAACAAATTACACCCCGATCAGCACCGCAATTCCCTTTGCTCGGTGGGGCATGGATTTAGTCGACATCTTGCCCAGAGGAGCAGGAAACAACACGTACCTGGTGGTCGCGATCGACTATTTCACCAAATGGGTCGAGGCCGCCCCCGTGCCGACCATCACCGAAGAGCAGATGAGGAAGTTTGTGTCCAAACAAATTTTGTGCCGTTTTGGGGTGCCCCAGTAGATCATTACTAACAATGGAACCCAGTTCGAGGCTAAGGGGTTCAACGAGTTTCTGCAGAGCTAGGGCATAAAACATAGTTACGCTGCGGTTGGGTACCCCAGACCAACGGGCAGGTTGAGAATACTAATCGCACCATTGTGGATGGCCTGAAGAAGAAAATAATGGAGTGTAAAAGCGCCTGGGTGGAAGAATTGCCCAATATCCTATGGACCTATAGGACTACTCTAAGGAAGGCTACAGGTGAAACTCCGTTCGCGCTCACTTATGGGTTCGAGGCGAGGGCTCCGGCTGAGACCTCGTTGTTAAGTTATAGAGTTGAAACATTTGACGCCCAGGAAAATGAAGAAAACCTAACGGCGGAGTTACACCTCATTGATGAGCGGAGAGAAAGGGCGTACATACGGGCAGAGAACTACCGTCGGCAAGTTAAGTCGTACCATGACCAAAGGGTGTGACCAAGGCAGTTCAGAATAGGCGATTGGGTCCTAAGAAAAAGGGAGGTCAGTCAGCCGACCGACGGAGGGAAGTTTGCCAAGAGTTTTAAAGGGCCTTACATCATAAAGGAAATATTGGCCGATGGAACGTTTAGACTATAGACACCAGCGGGAGGCGATGTCCCGCGCGGTATGGAATGCTGCCAATCTCATTAGATTCTATCAGTAGATTGTACTCCTACTATGTTTATCCTTTGAGTTTAATAAAGTCAGCATTTTGGGCACTTCTCTTCTTGAACTTCATCAAAAAAAAAGGAGCGACCAAAGAGATCGCTAATTAGAGCTACATGGTGATTTGCACTAAGACACCCATCAGGGGATGAAGTGCCGAACCCTGTTAGCGACCAAGTCTAAGGGCTATCAGAGAATGTTTGATCTACGGTCGCTAGGATGACTATGGGACAACACGTCCAACGGAAGGGCGACGCCGTGGCGAGAAAGCTTAAGAAACGGCTAAGTCCAGAACATAAGATCTGATGGTCGCATGATCGACCAGAGGACTTGGGGAAAATAAGGCGACGCCATGGAAGCGAAGAAGCCCCAAGAATGGCCAAGCATAAAGAAGCAACAAGGTGTTCTCTAACCAAGGATTGAGGATACCTGAACGCTTGAAATAAGGTGCAAGAAAAAGATAACTTGAAGGAAAGATGGGACTTGTAAGTAAACAGGTAGCATCAAAATACATTTATGAAAATGTATATTACACTTCAGGGATAATCTTTTGCATCTACACATCCAATACAATTGAGAACAACTTCTACATACTTTCAAAAGGGGAAAATTCTCCCATACATTTCTCATACAAAAAAAGGGGAAAGGGAAAATCCAAAGCTTTGTGCGGCTGAAGCCCGAAAAGGATGAGGAATACAGGGGAAAAGGAAAGGTTGAAGGGTAGTTCTGCAGCTGTATAGGCCGACAGAACTCCGATCACCGGCCGTCCAGAGCGACCACCTTTCTTCTCCAACATGGAACAGAGGTGGTCGCCCTTGGCAAAAATGCTCCCGTCCTTCTCGTGCAAGGGAAGGAGGGGAGGCGACTCTCTTTTCTGTGAGCCCGAATCGGCATCACCTAGATGAGGATGAGCGACCAGCAGGGCGTGGTGTGGAAGAATCCAGTTCTTCCCCCACCACAACCTCATCTTTAGGCCGTACCGGTGAGTTGGTGCGACTCTCTCTAGTCCACTGCTCCAGACTTGTGTAATATGCTCCCTCATGCTCCAAGAGAGGCAAGTGCTCATTCTGCACATTCTCCCAAGCCATGCACTGCAACGAGTGGAGGGGGCATGGGCATCCTAGTCAATCCGTTCGTTTGGCATACGGTTGGCTGAAAGCGCCTTGTACGCCGCGCTAAAATCGTCATAAGGATTTGGCGGTATCGGCGGCGGTTTTACCAAGGGCCATTGCCGGCGGGGCAGCCGGCGGCAGAATTCGTAGGGGTCTAGCCCCCCTAGTCATTGGAGTTAACAGATTTGGGGGAAGAGGCAGGCTCCGGCGAAGAAGGGTCCGGCCCATCGGAGAGATTCAGAGAAGTGGGAATTCCTTCAGACATGACAAAAATGGAGAAAGAGAAAGTATTTGATGATGGAGCTGAACGAAGACTAGGGGGCTTATAAATAGCCCCGGGTGAAGAAACCGAAGGGACGGTCAAGTCCCAGGGCAGCTAAACCGATAAAGAACCTTTGAGCCGCGCAAAGGTCCAATCAAAGACTGTGAAGGGAAGTGGGTCAATTGGGCGGCACGCCAGCTAGTCCCGAGGCTGGGCCTAGCTGTGCAGTTGGGCCAAGGGTGGGGTACAGGCCCAAGCCAAAAGCCCATCCGTGTCAACAAGCTAAACTAAATTAAACGAAGGCACATGAAGGATAGCAATTAAGTGCAGGGAAAGGAAGGCACATGATGAACGAAGCAAAACAAACATCAAACATAGAAGTATTGTATCAAAACACCAAGGCGTCCCAAAAAATCATAAGTTTTTACAGAGTTGAAAAGCAGGATGAAAACAGCGAACAGGGGGAAGACTAGGGTGGTTAGACGCTCGAGCTGACACCTCCTCCCGCCTTGGAGGTCGCCAGGTGGGCCCCTGGATTTTGGTCGCCCGGTCCGTCCTGGTCGTCCAGCGCAGCTTCTTCCTCTTCTTCGTCAGAGGCACTTGAGCTCCCCCCGTCCAAGTAAGGACTGGGGTCGAACTCAGCCAGGGCACGGTAGGGAGGGGGAAAGCCAAGGTCAGGGAGAGAGAATCCTTTGGGGAGCTGGGCTAGCTTGTCGCGGAAGACCTGCTGGGCACGAAAGAGTCCGCAGTTGAAGGACTTCGTCCCCTCCTTGACCATCCATTAGGCCCCAGGCTCGGTTTTGAGCCATTCGGCCGCCAGCTTGTCCATTCGCTCCATAGCGACCACAGAAAAGTCAGGAGAAGACTTGAAGGACTCGATCGCTTCCTCCACATGACAGACTCGATCGCTCCTCTCCGTCTCCAACCGCTGAATCAAATCGGTTTTCTCCCCTTCCAGCTCAGCTACGCGGGCAGAAATGGGCCCTATTTCTGAAGCCAAGAAGGCTTTCTCTGCCTCAAGGGTGGCAAAGCAACCCTCTTTCTCCTCCAACTCTCTTGTGAGACGAGCGACCTCCTCCTGCAGTCCTTTTTGCTTAGCTTCTGCAGCCTTCATCGCTTCGTCCGCAGCAGTTTGGCGGTCCCGTCTCCGGTCGACTACCTCAATCATCCCCAGCGTAGCCTGTACCAAAGTATAAAGGTTAGAAGGGTAAGAAGGGGGGGTGGTGAAAAGGAGTTGAGGCAAATACCTGGCTAAGTCTCTGAAGAACCATCTTGTTGAGGTCATCTTTGGAACCGGCCAAGATGCAAGCCCTGTCCTCCGCGGGCAGAGTGATTAGGGTCTCAAGTTGCACATCCCTTAGACTTGGGGACGGGGGAGGAATGCTGAACCTCGTTGAGCGACCATCGGTCGCCACCTCATAAGTCACTGCAGGCGACGAAGGAGGTCGCTCCGAGATGGCACCCTAGACGACCCGGCAAAGTCGCCACCCCGCATCAGAGAGCGCGGTGAGGAGTGGATTGCCATTGTACCTGTCTCCAAAGCTGCATCCTCCTGGTCCTCCACCACGATCACGGTCTGCTCACGAGAAGGACTATCTTCTCCGCGGGAGGAAGAGAGCTTGCTTTTGCTCTGCTTGGTTGCGTCCCTCTTCCTCTTCTTCCCCGCCATGAAGCGACCGAGCAAGAGGTCACTATCCATCTCTCTTTCTAATCCTTGTGGCTCAACTGAAAGCAAAGGAAATGGTTAGCCTCCCAAGGACATAAAATTGAAATCCCTCACAGGAAAAGAAGGAAATTACCAAAAGGACCACAGTCACGGCCTCCCTCAGGAGCGTCCCTGGGCAGGTCGGGCTGATTGCCCCCGGGAATATCCCTTAACAACTCAGGTTGGTGACGAAGCTCGTCCTGGACGAACTCAAACCCCATCCGGGCAAGAGAATCCTCGGTCACCACCTCCTTGATATCGACGGCCCCTCGCCCGTAGAGTTGGCGGGTGATGGACAAGAGGGAGGCGTCGGATGGGGGACATGGGATGCGACGGAAGGAAGGGAGCCCTGAACCCGTGAAAGGAGATTCGGGCCCCGTCGAGACAAAGACAAAGAAGGGCTTCCAGTCCTTGGTCGACCCCTTCTTGTCGTTGGTAAAAAGTTTGTTGGACCTCTGGGAAAGACTGGCATAGGACGCCCAATCCTTATGGCCCTTGGTCAGCTTGAAAGTAAACAGGAAGTGGTCAAGAGTAGGCTTCACCCCTATATCCTTGCATCTGATCAGATAACCGACAATGTACCGGTGAGAGTTGGGGACTAGTTGGCAAGGAAGGAGGTCCACCACGTTGAGGAATTCAATCAATAACGGGTGGAGAGGGAATCGAAGCCCCTTCTTTAGAGACGCCAGATGGACTGTAAAGAACCCTGACGGAGCGTCTAAGGCGGTTTGGATGCCGGTAGGTCTTAGGACCTCGATAGAGGGTCCAACCGTGTCAGTAGCATCAGCGAACCCCCGGTCAGTAATTTGGCAATGGCATAGCGCCATGATGTTCTCGTCTAGTCTAACCCTCGAGTCTTCGTGTGCTGGGGGCGAGGAAGGGAATTGCTTCCTCAATCGGCACCGCTTTTGACCAGGCATGGCCGACGGCGATGGCTTGGATGGTTGAGTGTGACCTGGGTCACGGCTAGAGGCCGATTGATCAGCTTAGCGAGAGTTGGACGATGGGGAAGCCAAATCGGAATCAGAGACAATCATGGTGACCCTAAAGGGGAAAACTGACCTGTAGCAGAAGGAAAACTGGTCGACTAACTGCTGAATCACGAACGGGTAGCAATGGAGAAGGCAAAGAAAGAAGATTGGCATCCAGCGGCGGTTTTAACAGAAAGAAGGAAGGCGAAGCAGCAGGCCATGATTACCTATTAGTGGAGATCGTGCCCAAACGTCACGCGAAACCTAAGGAATGGCCCGGATCTGCGCTGGAGCGCCCACGTGGACCTTGTAAACTCCCCATCCCTCAACGTGGCCCAGTCAAGGAATGAGGAGTTGGGGGGCTTATGATGGGCCGATGTCCAGCGGGCGGCCCAATTGAATCATTTAATAGACTTCGGGTCAGGCGCACAGGAACTACTTAGGCATGGGCCGGCCCATAATGCGCGGCCCAGTCAACTCCAATCCAAAACGACTGGCAGAGCCAGTCTAGAGGAGAAGACAGAGCTGAATGGCGGAGACAAAGCCGGAAAAAGTGGATCGCGCCATTGACGGGATAGACTCCCACTGATTATGTATTACCTTAACTGTCTAGAACTGAGGTATAAATAGAAGAGGCCCGAAAAGGGCTAAATGAAGCTAATAATACACACCTAATTCTCGAATTCTTGTTCTTAATCCTTTTCTTACGACCCGTTCTTCTAATCGGATCATTTGGTGGATTTATTGTCCATCACTACCTAAAATGGGTTTTCACACAATTCAACTATAATAACCCTACGAACGTAAGATTCAAACCTATAAGCACAACTAACGTTAGATGTCCACGTACTCACCTCAAATTCATCACAAGGTTAACTACGTAGAACTAATGCAACGAACAGCGGTGCACGGTAGTGAGTACTCCTTCTTCCTTCTTCTTATACTGTTAATGACTGATATATGTTTTGCTATGTGAACTTTATTTTGTTTAATGAGCTAAGTATACATTATTTTTATTTTTGTACAGATGGGTGACAATGAGAACCCCCCTCCCCCCACGTCGACTGATTCTGAGGTGTTGGCACGTTTGAGGAGGTCCGTCATTGGTAGATGGAGACCCCCTTCTCGCCAGGGATCGAGCACAGCCACTACATCCACAGGCATTCCCTCTATTACCTCGAGTCCATTCACTGACACGCAGGTGTCCCCCTCCACCCCACGTTCTACGCCATCTCGCCCTTGTACGTCAGGTATGGAACTCTCCTCTTAGAGATTAATGTAGTAGAAGTTTCAACGGATAATCAATTAGAGTGATGTTTCATTTATCACGAAACTGAAACTTAATGTCTAAGCTTGTTCATAGTTGTTTTTAATGCATGTATTATTGTGTTATTGTGTTAATAGCATCTAGGGTGGGGGAGAATATTGAGGATCAGGAGGATGGAGTTGGCGATGACCATGACTTCGAGGACTGCTTTGGCGAGGGACGCAGTGGCGGGGCGCGTGATGGTGAGGACGAGGTCCACGATAATGTGGACCAACAGGGTGGATATCACGAGGGTCCCGGTCATCACGGTCAGTTCGTGTATGTCAATTCGGATGACGAGTAAGTAATCTACTACATTTGAAGATTATGGTTACATGTTTGTAGGGTTACATGTTTGAAGTAAGTAATCTACGTGTATGGTTACATGTTTTAAGTAAGTAATCTAACGATTTTATGCTCACTACTTATACATGTTTGTAGGGTTACAATCACTAGAGCTGGTGCTGCACTCATCACACCAGCATTCTACGAGAGGACGGACGCGACTGGCTTTTCGTGGGGCAAAGTCTCAAAGACGACGAAGGAGTTCTACTTTCGAGAGTTCAAGGTTTTTTGGAAAAATTATTCTTTAACTTGTTTCGATCACAAGAAAATTAATATATATGTGTGTGTGTGTGTGTGTGTGAATACAATCTAAGTTATTGACTTTTCTATGATGTCAATGTAGAAAAATGCTCGAGTGGATCCGTCCATTGATGAGGGCATGCTGAGGAAAGCTTTTCTCAGGAAAGCTGCTAAACGGTACGCGAGTTATACGTACAATCAAAGGAACCCAACTCGATTGAAAAAGAAGAAGATGGACCCTCGGCCACTTGAGTAGTTGAAGAAGGTAAATTATAAGTTTGGAGCATATGTTTGGAGCATATGTGTATAAATCGCTATGTACAAGTAATGTTTATGAAATATACAACTATAGGTTTGGGAAGAGGATCCAGAGTTTTTGGAGTTGAGTAAGACGAAGAAGAAGAACAGAAGAAAGGGAAAAGAGGATGGTCCTACTCTTGGGACTTATTGCGGAGGTTCAATTCCATTTTCTGAATATATGAATCGATTGGTAAGATATATTTTATAAAATAATAGCTTTGCACTTGTTATTCGGTGGACACTAAATTTAAAATGTAACGGAAATGTTCATTGAAACTTGAAGGCTAAGAAGAAAGGGGCGCCTGTGCAGTTGGATGAGGTTATCATCCACACAAAGACAAAGAAGCACGATGGCAAGACTTGGGTGGATCCAGGACATGCTGAGCTACATGTACTTTCCACAATTTGCAAAATAGTTTGGGTTCATGCTCATAATGTTGTTGTTTTTGTCTTTAAGCTTCTAAAGGGTGATAATGTAGTCGCTTTCTTGTGTAATTTTATTGTTTTGGTTGACGTTATTCTTACTGTTTATGTTATTGTTAATTGTGTTGTTATTATTGTTGTTACATTGATGGTGTTGTTGTTGACATATGATACTATTTTTGTTGTTGCGTTGATGGTGTTGTTGTTGTAGGGTTGACACTACTTTTGTTGTTGAGTTGATGGTGCTGTCATCACTAGCTAGATATTACGTTTCTTATCGATCCATGATAATGTTGTTAAGTTCTTGTGTTGTTATTGTTGTTTTTGTTGTTGTTGTCATATGACACTGTTTTTGTTGTTGCGTTGATGGTGTTGTTGTTGTTGTCATTTGACCATGACTTGTGTTCTTTGATGTTGTTCATGTTGTTATTGCTGTTCTTGACACGCTATTATAGTTACGTTGTTATTGTGTGTTATTAAGTATCATATATTGCAGGCACAAATCTTCGAACTGCGCGAGGAGGCTAGACAAAATGGACTTAAAGTCACCGAAGAAGGAATATGGTACTCGCTAGTCGAGGGCCATAACGCAAAGAACCGTGTTCCTGGAGTTGGTGACTATGCACGGGAAATGAAGAAGATCAATCCGTCCTCCAAACCTCGCCGTTCCAGCACTAGTAGCAGCAGCGCGGCGGAGATGGCAGCACTTAAAGAGCAAAACCAAAGGCTGCAGGAACAACTTGATAATCTAACCTCAAACTTGTCGCTGACGATTCAGGAGGAAATAAGGAAGTTATATGGTGGTAATCTTCCTCCACGAGGCGATGACGATGGAATGGGAGGGGCGGGACAGCCCGGGATTTGTTGACATCTTTGACATTTGAAACAAGCACTTTAATATTTCGTGTTTTTACAAGATTATGAATTATGTTACATTTGCACGTGAAGGTTTAATTAATCTCGTTTTGAATTATCTATTCCGTATTGAAATTTTGTTTAGAATTATGCGTGTGAAATTTGAATGTGTTGCCCCTGCTACTGCCTAAAAACAGAAAAAACAGAAAATGCTGGTGCTGTGATNGGACAGCCCGGGATTTGTTGACATCTTTGACATTTGAAACAAGCACTTTAATATTTCGTGTTTTTACAAGATTATGAATTATGTTACATTTGCACGTGAAGGTTTAATTAATCTCGTTTTGAATTATCTATTCCGTATTGAAATTTTGTTTAGAATTATGCGTGTGAAATTTGAATGTGTTGCCCCTGCTACTGCCTAAAAACAGAAAAAACAGAAAATGCTGGTGCTGTGATCAGGTTGTCTGCGACGGAAATTCTTGTTGCTGCGTTTTGTCGCCTGTCTACGACAGACATCCCCGTCGCAGCTCTGCGACGGTTTCAATACTTCCGTCGCAGATTTTTGGGGTGCAAAAGACGAAGGTACCCGTTGCAGGTCCGTGGCAGATCAGCCACGGAATCTTATTTCCGTCGCAGATTTTCAATCTGCCACAACTTTCCTGCGACGGAAAATATTCGTTGCAGTTCTGTCGTAGATTGCTAATCTGCCACGAAATTTCAAAATCTGCCACGGAAATTGTCTGTTGCAAACTGACAATTTTCTTGTAAGGTTCCTTCTCCCTCTTCCTGAGTTCTATCCTTGTTTCTCGCTGTCGCTGCTCTTTTCTGATTGACAGAAAGAGGCGAGAGAGAGACAAGAGAGAGAGAGAGATAGAGAGAGAGAGAGAGAAGAGAGTTATGTAATAGGGCAACAATAGGGGGGGTGTAGGCGTGTAGGGTTATATTTATAGGTATGGAGTTTTGGGCTCCGTAATTAAATAACGTACCTTGATATAAAATACGCCTTTCAGGCCAACTTGCTTCGAGCTCAAATCTGTTTGCACTATCGGATTTGTATCGTCGAATCCTACACAACGGTATATTTTTTTATGTTTTATTATTGAATATTTAAAATAAACTCTAGGCCCGTCTCACGTGAGGGACTAAACGACGACACACGTGAGGGACTAAACGACAAGTTGGAATTATGGCGCCTTGCCCTTGAAACTAAAGGATTCAGAATAAGTAGGAACAAGACTGAATACATGGAGTGTCGTTTCAGCGGCCGGGATACAGAATCAAAGGTGGAAGTCAGGATTGACTAGCACCTAGTACCTAAGGTAGACAGGTTTCGATATCTTGGCTCGGTAATCCAGGCTGATGGGGAGTTAGATGTGGATGTTGGACATCGTGTTGGAGTGGCTTGGGCCAAATAGCAGTTAGCTTCAGGGGTGTTGTGTGATCCAAAGATTTCGCCTAGAATGAAAGGTAAGTTCTATCGATCCGTAGTCAAACCTGCTATGTTATATGGGGCAGAGTGTTGGGCGGTTAAGAAGACTCATGTGCGTCGTCTGCATGCGGCGGAGATGCGGATGTTACGATGGATGTGTGGGAAGACAAGGTTGGATAGGGTTTCAAACAAAGTTATCCGACGTCAGGTAGGCATGGCACCTGTGGAAGATAAGTTGCGGGAAGCGAGGTTGAGATGGTTTAGCCATGTGAGACGGCGGGATCCTGACGCCCCTGTACGGAGATGCGAGAGGATTACAGTTATCGGGGGAAGTAGGGGAAGGGGTAGACCTAGGAAGAATTAGAAGGAGGTGATTAGGCAGGATTTAGGACTTCTCGACCTGACTGAGGATATGGCCCTAGATAGGAACCTTTGGAAAACTAAAATTAGAGTAGCTGGATAGGAGCTTGGTGCTGTAGAGGTTGTTTTGTAGTGTGTTGTATTCGTTTGGAATCTTCTGCTATTGCTTGTACTTGTTTCTTGTACTGGGTGCTTTATCTGTGTTATACTGTGTTCCCTTCCATATTTTTGTGCAGGTGGTGTAACACCCGCCTTCCGTGGACCCAGTTCACCCGCGACCCAACGGACCGGTAGGGTTACATGAACAGTCCGAGAACCATCCGTTACGAAAACATCACTGACTATTTAATAAGAAAACGGTTGGGTTTTATTTAGAGGAATAAATGCCAGGGAGCTACTCCCAAAACGTGTGTAATGAAAGTGCAGAGTACTTGCGGAAGTAATGAGATAAGTTCAGTCCAAACTAAATAACAACAAGGGTGGGTTCATGCCCAATTGATTAATGAAATCATTGAAAGTAATTAAGAGTTCGTCCGTGCGCCGCCCGTCTCCCCATCGTCACCGCTCTCCAGGGTTGGCACCTGCTCCGTCATGTCTACCTGCGTGTAGCAAAACAACTACACGCTCAGCAAAAGCCGAGGAGTGAATCTAACAAAAGAACATGAAGTGATAACCCATGTGGCTATACTCATATCAATACCTGTACTTAACGTACGGGACACCACACGTTACTAACTGTTTAGTTTTCATCTGTTAAAGCT